ATTACACCTACAATTCAGCACGATGATTTCCAGGGGAGACCACGTGGAGGTCGGCCTGACAGGATATTTACTAACAATGGGATTGGTAGTCCACATTACTAGCAATCCCTTGCCTCTCCCCCCCCCCCCGTGGTACATATATAACTTTTTTATATATTACGTTATGTATAAAAAAAATATGTATATTGCCCATACGTTAAACACGTGTTTTTTTACTATTTTCACAACTTTTGTGTCTTTATTAAAGTAAATACTCGTAGAATTTATCTCGAAGGTTGGCTACCAATAAGTCCCCCTTTTCAATTAACTACAAAAACCAAAAACAAAACATTTCAATTGTGTTTTGTGTATATCTTTGTGTGCGTGTGTGTATATGTGTGTGTTTCTCAATCGCTCTCTCAATGTATGTAAAAAACTTTCATTTCATTGTCTACAAACACCATCTAGGAATCTTCCTGTAAACTCAGATTTTTAGCAAATCGTGTAAAAACCACAAGCTGAGCAATCATTCATCACTTGTCTGATAGCTTGCGTCCAAAACATGCTAAAGTAAATTAATACCCGTCAAGTTGGTGCTGTTAAAGGAAAAGTTTTCAACTGATAGGATTCACTGCGTCTTATATAACAAGAGATCAACCCAGGGGACCACAATCCTTTATTATATCAGCTTCTCTCGTAAAAAAATGGTTTTATGACTAGAAATGTGTCGAATCAGGTTAACTCTAGTAAAGTCGACCTACCTGACAAGCCTGTCAATCACTACTAGAATCGGAAACACAGTATTCGAATACAAGCGATACTCGAATTAAAATTGTTCGTAAATTATAATAATTTATGTTTTTGTTTAATCTTTTTTTTTTTCTTTAATTACTCAAGGCAAACTTTAATGACTGTACATATATTTTTACCATTTAAGCTTCAGAAATCCATTGAAAAATTAATAAAGTTTGTGAAGAACTCAACTATTAATCAAATAATAGTACTTGTTTATTCTCAGACTCGATTTAGGTTTCGATTCTTTTTTAATGAGTACCAAAACTTTCGAATATAAAAAATTATTAACTCGGCACATCACTCCTAGTGACCTCTGTCACAAGACTATTTTTATGAGGAAAGGTCTGCAAATCTGCTCCTGCGTCTATTGTTTTCCTAAAATATTTATAACCAGTACTAGAGTTTTGATTCGTCTGTTGAAAATACAAAGGGTGACTGTTGAAAATACGAAGGGAACTCTCTAAAGCCAACATCCAATGACATTTTTTAAAGCATGAAAATAGAATGGTGACCCTGCCTGCGTTATTGATTTACTATGACGGAATACCAGCGAAGAGTGATAGGTAAAATTGAAATCAAATTTAGTCTATCGTGATAAATTTACGAGAGAGGACCGCTTGAACGTAGACTTGACAGAATTAAATTACCCGAATAACTATATATAACTAAATTTAAATTTAGAACTTAATTAGAATAGAGCTAGATTTAGAAATTTAATAGATAAGTACGTGTAAAATAATAATAATATCCCGTGATACGATCATGAACTGCAGAAATGGGCCATAAGAACTAAATCATTACCAGTTTATAACGCGCGTGTTAATGTTAACATTCTTACTCGTATATGTAAACGATAACCACAAACGACCATCTAATGAAGGCTGTGTATACAATAACCAGATCACCAGAGATAGGAACAAGTGTGTGAAATAATATCTACACATAAGCACAACAAATAGAAAAAGATTTTTAAATGTGTTTATGTTTAGAAAAATCTTTTTGATCTTGAGAACTTAACATTTTAAACTACAATTTTTTTTTATTTTTTTTTTTTTCTTTTTACTGTTAAAGGTTTTTGCAATTGATCACGATGTCATCTGATGGAAAACGATGATGAGGTGTAAAATGAAGCTTTTCAATTTACCTAATTAATGAAATCATTTCATATTTTTAAATACTTAATTAATTAATTATATTTAATTTGGGCTATCGGTAATAATTGAGTCGCCCGAGATAAGGACTTACGAAATAATAGAAATTGGGTAAAATGGAAATAAAAGTTTAAAAATGTTTATACCAAAATTTATAGAAGCTCCCTGTAGTAGATTCATAAAAAAAGATGATTTAAAAGTGCTTGTAAATAAACTAGTCTATTTGAATAGATGATTTGAATTTGAAATGTACGAACGTAAGAATTCATGAATTTTCAAAAACAATTGAACAATTTTCAATATTTCTAAATGATTATTCAGAAAATGTTCCGATAACGAAGTATATTTTAAATGTACTAAGATTTTTATTAATAATCAATCAAACAGTGGGCAAATCTGAAATTAATACATAAATATAGTCGATATAGATATAAATAATAATAATTATAGAAAATAAAATTTACAAAGTTTACAGCTATTATAGATAGACATATGATAGAAATACCGTAATTCATTTTTTTTTTTTGGGACGCTGGCAAAAATTTTCTGAACTTTACCCTTATAATCTCACAAACCTACATATGAGCAATGTACTATCACTGTGTATGAGTCAATGTTTTTACGTCAATAGGTATATGTACGTAATAATAGTTATCATTAAAACTCGCATTAGTTCAGTTCTATTCCATTAATCTTACTGAATTTCTTTCTAGATATAATATAAATAGAAATAAATAAATAAGAGTAAAAGAGCTTGCAATTCTGGTAATTTTTTTTTTTAAATCTACCTATATAAATACTTAGCGCTTTAGCATTTTTAGTTTTAGAATGGACGTAATAATATCAGTTTTATTCCAGTAATGTTACTGATTTTTTTTTTTAGATATAATATAAATGAATAAGAGTAATTAAAATTGAAATTCTAGTAATAAATTTGTTTTTCGAAATTTACATATACTTACCACTTTAGCAGACATATATTTCGACGAAACTAAGTTTTACTCACCAAAATCCAATAGAAAATTTAATTCTTCTAGGTAAGTAATGGAATTGTTCAATTAAACTAACCCATTCTCATGAAACTCATTTAGAAGAGAAACCCTACATTTTCTATTCGCAACATTACCCTACATACCTACACTATAATGTCTATGTTCACGTAATCAAAGTGTTGTGATGTGATAAAAATCACATTTGTCAGATGATAACATCGTGCATACCTACTTAATTATAGAACTTTGTAATAAATACCACTACTGTTATGATCTCAATAGTTTATTTTTCAATCCGGGCATAATGTTTATCTTTTTTTTTTTTTTGTTATAGTTAGTTTGTTATTGTAAATATTTATTTCTATTTATAACGCCAACCATGTATTTATTACACAATGAAAAGTAATGAAACTATTTGAAAATATGAGTTGACAAAAAAAACACCAAATGCCGTAGATATGTACGTATATAGGTACTCATATACTCATTTCCTCCTACCACGAATGAATAAATTATGATGAATTAGAAAAATAAAACGTTATCTTAAAAGATTACAACAGGAGCAGTTATCTACTATTTATGTACGATGACATTCATATGGACCGCTTATTGACAATTCAAATGTTTTTTTTTTTTTTAAATACTACTGTAGTCTTTTGATAAAATTTCGGTACTACTGAAAATATATAATTAGAATATTGTAATTAGAAAGTAAACTTCTATGATGTAGCGACGTATTTCCTATCGATAAGTAGTGGTATACATCAAAATTGAAGAACATCATGTCAAACAATTATATAGAACACAATCTATAGATTTTACAAGCGAAAAACACGGAGAGAAAGGCAAAATCTCTCCACGAGATATTCTAGTCTCCTCGAGTTCCTTTGAGTTCCCACCCTAAGATAAAGTAGCAGCAGCACTCCATTATAATGATAGACTTCTAATGTATAAAGTTTGGCCTTGTCTTCTAAACATCCCTAAAGATGTCGTAATGCTTTTATAGAAACTAACAGTGTGTTCCAAAACTGTGGAGCAACAAATTAGAAATTTTTACAGTAAACGCGCAAGCTTGTAAGATCTCTTCAAAGATTGGTCTAAGATTAGTTTCATTTTAGAATGTAAATTACTATTACTATTAGATCTATTACTATTCTTATTGTAATAGTGGTAGTACTATTTACAAGCAAATTGACCATCGCGATATTTTTATTAAGTACGTTCATGGAATTGATGCCTAAGTTGCCATTGTATTCAAATATATGCAGTTATAAACCAATAAATATATGAGTACCTATAACATATTAAGTGCTCATAACGATTATATAGACAGTTTAGTTCACATTTTATCACATTTAGTCTCAATTATACTCATAAATACCTATAAAAGCCATAATTTCTAAAGTTTTTTTCAAATAATTCTAAAAATTCAAGAGTTTTAATACAAAACCAATTTTCACTTTTCGACAAAAACAATTATCATTTAAATAGCTTTACTAGGTATAAAGTTAATAGTCCGAAAATTAGCACAGAATAGAAATCCTAAAAAATTGACAATTATGTAATTATTATATGGTAGAAAACACAGATTATCTTGTTACCATTTTTATTAGGTAGACAACCAAATGTAAAGTGCTCCTGAGATAGTCAAAATAGATTTTGATTCTAATCAAGCCATTTAATATTTAATGCGCTAGTTTCAGTAGGTACCTAAATATATTAAACATTCGAAGATTTAATGTGTTTTTAGTTATACTTAATACATCATTTAATCGTATTAACGATTCATCTGATTAGTATGTATTCAAGAAGTTTTGATACGTAATTAATAAAAAAAAATCTTTTTATAGATACTTATGAACGATAACGAATTATACTTATTATTTTGTATCAAATTTTGTTTACTAAAACTTATCACCTAACAAACGACATAAAAAACGTTACAGTATATACACAGTGAACGCCCATGAATAAGAAAAAAGAGATGTCATTTATCACCAACGCAATAACATCTAATTGCACAGACGTTGGTTGTCGTCTAATCATTCAAATTTAGTCAAAATATAGATAAAAGTTTACTCACCTATAGCTGTTTTAGTACGAACATTTCTAGAGTAGCACATCGGATACAAGATAGCCCAGTAGCGGTCAACGGACACGGCCACCAGGCAAAAGATGCTGATTGTACACAACATCACCAATAAGGACACAGTGAACAGACAGGCGTGAAGGTTTCTCGGGAGGCCCACTGATGCTAAGATCGCGAACGGTATCCCGAACAGTCCAACCAGGAAGTCGGCAGTTGCCAGAGACACGATATAATAGTTGGTACGACGTCGCAGCCGCCTGTCACGGCGGAACACATAAATCACCATTGCATTGCCCACAACAGCTACCAGTGCCACTAAAATTTCAAGAGTAGTGTAAGTGGCATGGAGCTCCGTTGTAGGAGTCCGATGAGGTCCAGGTCCGAATGTTGTCGTCTCTACCTCTAGATCTTCTGCCATAGCGACTTCCGATATGATCTCACTACAAAAAAGTTTACCCCATAATTTGACCCGTCGCTGCCATTTATGTCCCTTGTAGGATTGAATTGACTTCAGTTTGCAACTAGGTCCGGAAAATGTTTTAATTTTTTTCGCAGACACTTAAATATCAAATTTACATACATTTTTACATTTAAAATTAATGAAACACGAAATAACATACGTAAAATATTTAGTTACTGTTGTAGGTTGTAGGTCAATTTTTTTTTGTAATTCGTAATCAGTGACCGAAATATGGTCAATCAGAAGTACGGTCGAGAATGACACTCTCGCGAGGCGCGCTTCCCGTCACTGCGGGCGCGATTTGGCGCGAAACGCCAGCTTGACATCGTCGGGACGCACGCCCTACGCCGACGCGCGAAACACTTGTTGCGGTCGCGAACACTGTGCTACCCTTGAAAAAGGAATCAAGTTCACACTACACCAATCATACAATCCAAAACAACATGTTATTTATTAATTTATTATTAGCACCAAAGCACTCAGAATTTTTGAAAATTAATTCAAACTGGACAGTAAAAGGTGAAATTTTGAGTATTCTTTTCAGATCCCAAAAAATATTTATTTAATTATTTTATTGGCAAATATATATCTACAATTATTCCAAATTTGAAGTCAATAGCATTTGTAATTGCTGAAATAAAACGCTGTAACAGACGGACGCATGAACAAAAGTAACACCATAAACATTTTTTCAAAGTATGAAGACGTAATGGTAACCACGTCCATGCTGGTGGCATGGACGTGGTTAAAAGGTGAAATTTTGAGTATTCTTTTCAGATCCCAAAAAAATATTTATTTAATTATTTTATTGGCAAATATATATCTATAATTATTCCAAATTTGAAGTCGATAGCATTTGTAATTGCTGAAATAAAACGCTGTAACAGACGGACGCATAAACAAAAGTAGCACCATAAACATTTTTTTAAAGTATGAAGACGTAATGGTAACCACGTCCATGCTGGTGGCATGGACGTGGTTAAAAGGTGAAATTTTGAGTATTCTTTTCAGATCCCAAAAAATATTTATTTAATTATTTTATTGGCAAATATATATCTACAATTATTCCAAATTTGAAGTCAATAGCATTTGTAATTGCTGAAATAAAACGCTGTAACAGACGGACGCATAAACAAAAGTAGCACCTTAAACATTTTTTTAAAGTATAAAGACGTAATGGTAACCACGTCCATGCCACCAGCATACGTCAGCGGGGAACAAGTGGGAGATGTTCGGTGAGGATGAAAGCAGATCGATTCCCATCGTGACAAATTCTTTTTTTTTTTATTTGTTTGGGAAAACTAGCAGTTACAAAATAAAGAATAATACATAATATTAATCAAAGAAAACATTGAGTAAATTTGCCACCAACACCGTTTACCACAGTTTAAATTCAAATGTACTCGTAATACAAATAGCTGAAGCAAACAAGAACAGTTAAAAATTACATGAATCTTTTAGAGATTAACTTTTTAAAAGTGCTTGGGCGTTCATTTATAATATCAACATCATTAAATAAAGTGTTATATAAATTCACAAGTCTATACAAAGGTGACCGTTTTCCAGAATTTGTACGACAGCGGCTAGTGGCAAAAAGACTATTTGGATAACGGCAATGCACTCTAGTGGGTATTCTATACCACAACTTATTGATAATTGGACTACAGTCATATCTATTATGACACAAATCATATAAAAGCATAGTTTCTAAATGGATACGTCTATAATTTAGTTTAATTAATTTATATTTGTCAAGTAATTGTTCATAAGAGGAATGGCTATTGGTATACTTATAATGAATTGAACGCAAGAATATTTTTTTAACTTTTTTCAATTGCATCAATATACTCATTATAAAAAGGATTCCAAATGGACACAGCATATTCCAGTTGAGAACGAATAAGACTTTTGTATAAATGAATGAGTGACGAAATTTGTTTGAACACACAACAATTCGACTGGAATTAGTCACGATACTTTACAGGAAAGACTGCGCATAGTTTGTTACCGTTACCTTTTAGAATTTTAACAGCTCGATCAATCGGTATAAAATTCATTGGCATATTTAAGACTATTTTACATCTATCACCCCTCACTAGCGTCCATAAAAAAAATAACAAATGTATAGGTAAGGACTTCCATCATAGGCGCCCCGCCAGGATTACTTTTAGGAATGTACCTATTTATACACAATACTATAACAAAGAAAACATTAATTGCAAATTTATATGTTCTTTTTTAACAAATTTGAACAGCAAGACACCAGCCCTGTTATTATTCAAAAACTTAATAGAAAAATTATGTCAAATACTAGAGCACCCCCTTGCCTGTGCAATATGAAACATCTGCAACAACCTGCAAAATGACGACATGCTATAGGAATCACGAGCGCCGAATCATGATTCCCATAGCATGTCTCTAAACTCTATTCCATAGATAAATTCAAAATTATTCGTGATGTCTTCTCAAAACACGTAAAGCTGTATTCCGGTATATCTTTGCAATAGACATATCCTCAAATGATTGATAGTATGGTAATAGATGGTAGTGGGATATGGCAGTGAAATTAGCGGCTACGAAAATCTATTAATGATTAAGATTAACAACGCATAAGAGGTGCTCGAGTATTATAGAGTATTCTGTGTAATGTCCATGGTACATTTTATGTCTATAAACAATGATTAAGTACCATTTTCCATCTTATGGGTAACAAGTACGCAGATGATTTTCTGTTTATTTTTTTAGACAGAATTTTACTGTTATTTTTTTTTTGTTTTTGTTATTGTGTCACAAAAATGTCTCGCGCAAACTGTACCTTGCCCAAAACTAACTTTGATTTTTCACCATTATAGCCATTTGTTTGACTTTATATATTGCATAAAAAAGTACCATAAAAAGAATTTTTTCTTAGTCATCATATCAGCCATTAACTATCGACTGCTGAACATAGACCTCCTCCATAAGAGGAGTTGGAACAGTTAGGCATTGGTGATGTTTTAAGAGGAAAGCCGTACAATAATATACTTGACTAAAAAAAAGTAATAGAAACATAATATAAATAAATAACTTTCTGTTACTAATTATCGTATAATGAAAATATCTATTATTTACTACAAAATCAAGAAAACAGGGAATTCGTATTCTCTTGTTTATGTAAGTATTACCATCATAACAACCGTTAATTGTCCAATGCTAAATATAGGCCTCTCCCTATTGCAGGGTTTTTGCTAGTAATTGCCACGCTTAGAAGATTGGTTGACATGAGAGACGCTACTGCCCATCCCTCGAACCCATGGGAAAAGGGTTGGCCCATTCTGTGGCGGGACCACACGGCAATTCTTATGGTACTACTACCAAAAACCTAACTCACTCTAAGATCTCTGTTACTATAATTCAATCCTCTATATATATAATCAATTTAAAACCTATTATGGACTTACCAGTAAAATTGTAGAAATGAAACACAAAATCAGTAGAGATTTATATTATTTTTGTCACCATATCTAACATTATCTTTCTTAAAAATCAGAGACTTTATAATTATGTACTATATTTCATATTTCAATAAAAAAACTGAAAACAGTTATGATAAATCAATCATTTTTATAACACTAAATATAATGTATTAGATATTGATGAAGATTTTTGTAAACTTTGCAAAGAAAAGGAGGGCCGTCTCGATGTAGAGTTGATCAAATAACAAAAATTTTAACTACAACAGTTACCATTTCTTAAATGCTATTTCTAATATTAGCAATTGTAGTGGGCTTATCTATTTTATATTTTGGACTGAAATAATAACCCAAGATGCTGCCTTCATGATACAAACGCAATTTCAAATAAGACTGACAGCATTGCTTCTAGCAATAAGTCTTTTACAAATAAGTACATTGTTAATCATCTTTATGTATTGCTATTTCCCTTACTCTTGTTTGACAATAAAGCTTTTTTAATAAATAAACAATCAAATTAATATAAGCATAAAAATAATATACAATTACTTGTACACAATTTAGGTTAGAAACTTCTGGATTCATTTATATGCCCAATAGTTTCTTTGTGATGTTATTATTTTTTCTATAAATCTATTGTGTTATTGTTAAAACATTTAATTTATTATTGAATCATTATGTCTGCTTGACTAGGTATACATAAAACATGCCAAAAGTAATAGATAATCCAAGACATAAGGACTAACTCATAGGTGTATGTAATCTATTTACCAGGTGAATTGGTACACCAATGTGTAATAGTGTTTTTCTATCTACTTGATCTAAATTGGGATGGAAATTGAGCAATGCCTCCCAACAAATTTCAGTAAGGCTTGGAATACATAACCATACTTTATACATAGTATTATTCCGATCTGTATCATTGTCTTTAGGTTCAATCCCACCAAATACATACATACAACCATATGAGGTCACTGTAGAAGAATGGAAATATAATGGATGTGGTAAAACTGTCTTTCTCATAAGTGTCCATTGCAGATCCGATAAATCTAATCTCCATATATCTTTAAACACATAATGTACATCAGAACCACCAGCAACAAAAACTTGTGATCCATTTGGTGTGTCAATTTGAACAGCACTGTGACATTTCCTTGGTAAGGGAGCTACAGTATACTTTGAAGTGTTATCAGCTTTTGGTATGAGGATAGTCCAAGTTTTTGTTTTCAGATCAAACATAGGTAACTCCATTAGTTCATATGCCCACTCTCCTGTGCCTCCACCAATTATATACAGCTTGTCTTTTATTCTTGCCACTTCATGCCTGTATCTCCCAAGTGGTTCCCCCTCTTCTCCTGTCCCAACAAATACTGGTTCCCAAACCATAGTCCGTAAATCTAATCTAAAAAGAGGTATATATACATTAATGTAATTATAGAGATGGAGAGAGGGTTAATAATAATGAGGACTAACGAACCCATTGCTAGTAATGAACCCTGTCAAATGCAACCCCTATAAGAAACCATGATTCTTAATGAAATTTTTAAAGCAGACCAACTAATCTGACTGGGGGGAAGGGATTGTCAGTAATGGGGAAAGTAGTCCCCATTGCTATCAATATACCCTATCAGGTCGACCTCCACATGATTCTCCCTGGCAATTTATCATTAAATTCATCACGATGGGCTAACTGACTTGCCATTTCATCCTCACCTACCACCTCTCACTGGTACCCCACCAGTTTATACCGATAGTGCAGGCCGGATAACCATACCATTTTCACCCATTAAAAAAAAACTGACCTGACTTCATCCTCACTTTTTATCATTCATTCATGCTTATATGCCATATTTAATAATCACAAACCAATAGTGCAAAAGAGCAAGAGTACTACAGAAGAGTACATCTATTTAAAATTTTACAAGATAGCAGATTAAAATATTCTTCTTCTAGAGATAACAGACATTTTAGAATTTGTTTTTTTTTTTACAAATGATATAAAAATACAAACCTATAAATATCACAGTTATATGCATAACCATTAGTACCTCCTATTGTGTAAAAGTAACCATCATGACACAATACTGACTGGCCATATTGGCCAGGAGGTACTGTTCCTTGTACATCCAAGATCTTTAATTTGGCATCACCATTGCATGTTCGCCATACAATCACGTCATTACTACAACGATTGCCAAAGGGAGCTCCGGTACCTCCAAAAATCTGGAAAGAATCTATAATGTAATTACCTAACATATGGTCATTGGAAAGTACATTTTTATGAATTTAAATTACACTAACCATTAAATATTTGCCATTCATACACATTGCATTTGAGGCCAATTCCTCAGGCATATTTTCTATGACTTTATGTTGCTTCCATTTTCTGGTGGCGATTGAAAAGCTCCAGAGTTCTTTAAAAAGTGGCCGAGCTGGAGTCCATGTAGGATTCTCTATTTCAATATTAGTGAGTGGCATAGTAGGATTATAACCACCAAAACAGTAAATATTTACATCATCACACACTATCCTGTGTCCACTACGAGGCCTAGGGCTCTCCGAGCTACGATATTTAACTTCAGTAATCTTAAATGGTTCAAACACATAGTCTGTTTTTGAAGGTGTTACGCCGAAATCAAAATGTAGCATTTAAAATAATTTTATGTCTAAGTATTATACTTTAATATGTTTTACAAGTTAGGAATTTAAATTCTAAAAATATACAAAATGCAAGCCAAAGGTAGAGAAATGTAGAGAAAAGAAACATTAAAAATTCTTATCTCAGAATGTGACAGCCTATGACAGCGTTAGCCTAAGGCTGACAGCATTAGATGACATATTCTTACAGATTCTTATAGATTTAAAAAACTATTTTTTTTTTTACTTTATTTTCACAGAGCAAATAATTACTACACACTACCTTACATTTATTTTATATGCTCGTAGACTGGGTGCCTTTCAAAGATGTCCCTTGTAACCCTTAAAGGGTCCCTTGTAACCCTTCATCATTATCATCATCATATCAGTCGTTAACTGACCACTGCTGAACATGGGCCTTAGGAGGTTTTTTTTAATGAACGATATTGGATTGGTAACCACTAGATTAACACATCGTGATGAATTCTCCTGGAATTCAGCACAATAGTTTCTAGGGGGGACCACATGGAGGTCGACCTGACACAATATATTATTAGCAATAGGAATTCCAATACTTGCCACATTTGGCGGTCGGCTTGGAAACCGCAATTAAGCTTTGGTGATTTTTTTAAATGGAACGCTACTGCACATCCAGAGTAATGTGTAAAAAAGGTACGAACCTGATGTGAACGATATCAAACCTGACGTAAGGTTCATCTAAATGAATGATGGCCTATTTAAATAATAAACTCCAGTGTGAAGATTTTAAATTTGATATAGGCGATATAGAATTTAATGACTTTTTTGAGAAATATAAGTCCACAACAAAGATAGATTTTTGTTTTTACTTACATGTATAGTATACCTCGTAAACCTGTTTTTAAAATTTCAATTTGATGTCACAGCGAAACATAATAAAGGATCAATATAATTATCTAATAGATTTAATGTAAAAATTGTTATATGATAGTCCATAAATCAGTAATTTCGGGGGAAAGGGATTAGTAGGGATTAGTTAGTAATGGAGACTGAGAATCCCATTGCTAGCAATATACCCAACCAGGTCGACCTTCTCGTGGTTCTCCCTGGAAACTATCATGGTTAATTCCTGATGAATTCATCATGATGGGCTAACTGGCCTGTTTTCATTCTCATCTATCACCATACCATTTTCACCCATCAAAAAAAAATCAGTAATTTCTCGAAATTATCAAATTAAAATATTAGATAAAATGAGGTTTAGAAAAATGGAAATTTTTGCTAAATGGTGTGTCTACAGAATATATTCTTCCCAGGGATAATGTGAGCATTTAGTTTCATTTATGCATTAAAACGCATCAATACTCGTTAAAAAGAAGAGGAGAAAAAGAAAGAGAGTTAGTGCCCTCTTTTGTAATCTTATATCTAAATAAAACCATATATATATCTGAGGTGGCATAAAAAAAAAAGGATACTGCCCTGATGGTAAACGGTTACCGTAGCCTATGAACGCCTGCAATACCAGAGGTATTACGCGCGCGTTGCCGACCCTGAAAAAACCTCTTTATACCCCTTTTGAAGACCCCCATTCTATATAGTCTCTTGGGAAAATTTCAGAAAAAATATGTAACAAATTAATAAAAAACAATACCAATTTGTTCCAGTTATCTTTATTTCAAATCGAAAATTATAATGATAAGAGTAAATCAAGCTTTGAATCCGTTACCATTTTATATATAATATAATTTGCATACATATTTTAGACAATTTATAAGCTACAAATCTAATAAAATATGAAGCGCATACAACAACAAAATCTGTTTAATTAATAACAACATTTATACGAGTCATACATCGACTGGATATTATTGACAAAAAGCGAAGAGAAAATTGAGCAACAGGTACAAGGGTAACAAAATTGAGTCAAACTTTTTTATTATATTATTATATGTAAATGAACGTAACAAGATACATTAATATTGTAATAAATTTGATGACGAAATATATGAAAAATTAATGAAAAAAATAATATGTGCAAATAAAAATTTATTAAACAAATTATTCTGTCATTATAAGAAAAAGCAGATAAACTGATGCTGATAGTAACAAATTAAAAATAATTTGTTACCATGTAAAACTCGACTAAAATTCTTATAACATAGAAAGAGCTAGATTCAGCTGTTGACTTATCATAAACTCGTGGGTATTGCTCGAACTATGTAATTATGCATACTATTTTGATGAACAAATGATTCTTGCTGCACAAGCCATTGTTGCAAACTTTGTATTTGTTAACTTTGGTATTGGCAAGATCCTTCCATCTATTTTGTTTTAAAAATATACATATATTGCAAAAATAGTTAAATTACAAATATTTTACAAAAATGTCACGGGTTAAATAGAATTATTTTTGTTTAATTCGCTATCATTAGTATACGTGCGAATGCCAACACTCGAAGATTGACTACTATTATTATTACTAGAGGTGTTACAACCTTCTATATAAACCATCAATCTTCGACCGCTAATCCGTCCACGCACATTTTGCAAAACGTATTTCACCTCTAATAAGTAGCTTGGAGCAGTGTTAAACGTTCGGCGCCTAAATTGCTAAAAATTACAAAGAAATTAATTCAAACTATAGATGTAGATGGAAATAGATAGCACAATGTATAGAAAACGTTTTCCATTGTACTGTGTTCTTACAAAAGCAATTTATTGTTACCTACCTCTTGTAATACTCATCTAAACATGTTTTTAATAAAGGAATTTTAAAGTTAGGAGTCCGTTAGACACTTTTGAGATTATACAGGGCAGGTAACAAATGCCAAAGTATTTGCAGAAGCGACATCTATTTGAAGTCATCGCGACATCTGGAGTTAAATTAAATATATAACATAATTATGTCAAATTAAGGGGAATTTTAATGCTTTTGGAATATAAAGCTTTAGGTTTATTCTTTTTGTTCTTCTTGTTCGTGGAAGAAGGCGCGGCGTGAAGGGCGGCCTCTATAGCATCGCTCAGACTAAGAGTACGAGGAACGAGTCCATCGTCATCGTCTGCGGGCGAGGGCGATGGCGGGGCAGCTGCTTTGCGAACACGCCAAGTGCCGCTAGTACTTGCCATCTGAAAACAAAATAATTCAGTTCATAGGAACATTTTAGCAAATGTATATTTTAGCGATTTATCTTTTCGTCGTTATATTTATAAATATACATGTTACAAACCCCCTCTTTCGCGACCAGAAATTTTATTTCAGAACAATGATTTGTTTTACTTATTTATGTGTATCTTTAAATAACATACTTTTTTAAATGTATGAAATAGATCTAGTTAATTATTTATTATATTAATGAGTTACAATGACCTTACATATATTTACAATGTCCAGTTCCTTAGATGATATTAATATATAATTATGATAATACTTCGGTTTTTTTTTATTCCGTTATTGATCCCATATTATTTTAAACATGAATTAGTTTATGCAGAGTAAATTCTTCGAACATAACTACATTATTTCAACAGTTACCTTAGCAAAAGATGGCCCCGAAGAGGGTGGAGACATAGTGCTTGTAGTTGAGCCAGATTCATCAAGTGAAGGCAGAGGGACATCCACTATTTGACTGCTGTATGACGGAGCCGCGGGTGGGAACAACACTTCAGATGAAAAGTCAGGCTTCGGCGGGCCTTCCACGGCACGGCGGTGCGCGCGTTCGCGACGACGTTCCTCACGTTGCTGACGAGCCCGATTTCGAGCTCGACGTTCTAATTCCTCTGTAATTAAAGATAAATCATAGTAATTCCAGAGGGAATTTTCTACAAAAATCATTTGCTTGGGCACCCGTCCCTTTTACGTTTCTACTGTGAAGCAGTTGTGTGTGCATGGCTGTGTGTCGGTTTGAAGGGTGGGATATGGCAGTGAATTTACAGGGTACAGAGGAATAACACCAGAGTCCTCAGGAATGGCAATGCATGGAGGGTATCATGTGCAAAACAGTATACTCAGTTATGTCCATGGTACTGCTCATGTCTATAGGCTTCAGTTACCGTTTTCCATCAGGTAGGCCGTCAGCTTGATTGCCATTCTAAGTTACATAAAAAAGAAAAAAATTACAAAAATGCTTTTAAAAGTTTCACCATGAAAACCATGAATCTATAATTCATGGTCAATGCTTTTGATCGTCGTAAATTATGTTGTAATTTCATATAGTACAAACAAGAGGAAACGTTGAAACGAAAGGATTTGTTAGTTAGATATATTTGATTTTAAGTTGCTATATATATTACTTGATTTAAAGGTAAGACCTACAATTAACCAATCACAGGCAATACTAATAATAATATACATACCTGCAAAATTGTTAAGGGCAACTGTAGTTACATATGGTGGTTGCAAATCCAGTTCCACAATATCAAATGAACAGTGGAGAGGCAGGTGAGCCGTACAAGGCATATGCTTTCGAGTCTGTAAACAAAATACATTTTAATAAAAAACTACTAACATAAAATTTCTTGTAAACCTATTTTAATTTTTAAAACTTATGTTCATTTAATGACATCTATATACATTCACAACGAGAGTTTTACACAAAACGCCGTACGCCCCCTGAAGAAGACTTCCAGATAAAGCCGAAACAATTGTCTAAAACGATAAAGTTACAGTAAGTTCGTAAAATTCACGTTGTGCATGTATATAGACACCTATTTCAAATGTTAATGTGTTCAGTCAAGTTCTATTTCACTTCATTTATACCACAATGATGGCAAACAATGCATGTAATAACTCAGAACCGTTCCTTATGGCAATCTATGGGGGAGGCCTATATTCAGCAGTAGGCAGATGTCTGAGATGATGATTATAATGACGATGGCATACAAATCATTTTAATAGTAACAATAAAAAATATTTCAAAAGAAAGAGATGTAACATTGAAGATTACAAATATTGATAACAGGCAATTACCAACTCTATACAACCAGTAACATTAAATTTCGCTACTTATCTATATGATAAGAATTAACGTATTGATATTTTATAACTAGACAATATATGTACATGGAAAATATTTAGAAATATTGACTAAGGGATATTAGAAGTCAATTTGTAAGTTTATTCTGTTATCACAGAAAAACTTGTGGTCACAATCGAGTTCCTAAAAGTCTATCCTAAAATCTAGTATATGTTTTATCTAGATATGGCATCTAAAGTGGCTATATTTCATGGTTATTAAAGCATAAAGCTAGTAATATATATAATACTAGCGATATACATATATAGTGAATACCAGCCTGACTTTGTATGGGTAAATAGAATTTTTGAAAATAATAAGCTTATAATGTAGCATTCTATAGTTTTTTTTTAATCGGTCGAGTATATTTTTTATTTTATCACAAATACATTTGTTACATACAAACAATCAAATATTTCCTTTTTATAATACCTGTACAGATAATAATGTACATATACAAAATTATTTAATATTTACTTGTTCAATAAGTGGAAAGGTTTCACGTTGTAGTACGCGACCTCGAATAATAGGCGGGGCGGCCGATAGGGCACCCCAAGACGAGTTCAAAATGCGTACATTCAATTTGTTAAGAAATACCAATTGGCCATCTTCAGCTGTAATAAAAATATTTTTATAAGTATACAAAAATGATTAGAAACTTCATTGTTTATAATTATCTAAATAAAAAAAAATTAAGTTGCCTGTAATAGCTGTACATCTTATATAATACACTAAGAGTATAATAGGTGAAAGAGATTAATACTAGATTGGAAATAATCAAAATATAGTGACATTGGTCATTTACACACCAATACATCTGGTATAATAAAAATATTAATGTATCAAATTTTAAACAACGGATTACATTTATTTAAGTGAAAAGAAGACAACATTATTTGCAGTACATTTATGTTTGTATTCTATAACTAATATTTAAGTTTTTACATACTACAGTAATGATAATTATAAACTCAAATTACATACCTTGATAGAAGTAGAAATATTTTGTTTGATTTTCTTTATCAATGTCTGTAACTGTAGGATTATTCACTATTTCATCGAGCTCTAAGGTAGGTAAATCTTCAGTTAAAGGAAATTCTTCCATTTCCAAAATTTTGTCATCTGTATCACTCTGATTGAATGCTGGCGCTTCTGGGTTTAAGTTTGATTGACTGGTTTCTATACCCAATTCTTCCATTTGATCCTGTATGACTTCAATAGAAGCAGCGCCTTCCTCAGTTACATCAAACCAGTCAATTTTATTCTTATTAACCTCCTGTTTTTCATAGACAGTTGGTACTGCTTTTTCAGTAACTGTTTGAACAATCTCAAGTTTATCAACTACTGTATTTAGTTTCTCCTCTTTTAACTTCAGTAAGTTTAAGGCTTGTTCTAAATATATAATTTCTGTTGTATCTATTTCAGCCAATATTTGGTTTTGTATTTCCATTCTTTCTCTCTCTAATATTTCTTGTACCTATCATGTAAAAATTAAATTAAAATTATTGTGACAATTCAAATAGAGTTAAAAATCTATTAGTATGGTTTTGCTATATAAAAACTATAAAAATATGTATAAAGATGTCAAAAGGTCTTATCATAGCTGAACCAATTTGGATAAAACTGTTTTTATCTAGCTAAATTAATCATAATGTAGATTAACATATAGGAGATACGAATAATTCGACAATGACAAAGTACTCGAAAGATTACATGATTATACACTCCCATATATGGGGGAGACTATTTTCAGCAGTAGACAACTAACAGCTAATATAACAAACATAGTTCATAGTAAATTTATTAGACTAATTATAAAATAAGCAAACTATGTTTTTCTAACCTGTTTCTTTGTAGCAGTAAAAAACTTGGAATAAGGTGCATTATTGATGGTTTCAAGAGGCAAAATTGCTGTTGGTTTAGAATCAGTCAATTGTCCTCGAGGAGGTGCTATTTCCACTATTGTGGAACCTCGTAAACGGCGAACTAGACGCATTGTAACCTGAAACAAATATGAAAATCTTTACTTTTTCATTTATTCATAACTAGCAAGAAAAGAACCGAAGACTCATGAGTCATGTTGTACTAACTACTTGGTTAGTGCTCTGTTTAATTTAGTATTAAATATGCATGTAATATGTACAGGTAACAGATTTAATAGAGATCCCAATAAAACGAAAAGGATAAAATTAACAATCCAGTAACCAGGACTATTGGTGCTTCTGTCATTCATCTGCAAACTATTGTGATTAAATACTAACGAACTTATGCTAGAGAGGGAGAGATTATTGGTAATGCAAATTACTAGTCCAATTGCTAGGAATATATCTTGTGAGGTAGATCTTCTGAAAACCATTGTGCTGTATTCTGAGTGTATTCATCACAATGGGCTAACTGACCTGCCTTTTCATTTTCACCTATCATCCCTCACTGGAAACCCCCAACATCATAAACAAATAGCATAGGAAGATAGATAAGTAGATACTCTTTATTGTTTCCTACAAAAGATTACAGCAGTAAAACTTATTATAAATACAAACAATTATAAATTAGGAGAATTACTATTCTATTTTCAAATATTATAAAAATATACCTCTTCAGCGGGTGGCTCCCACTGCACCATCCGTGTGGGTTTCATATCTTGGACATGTAAAGGAGTTGCACATACAGGGCAAGGAGGAGGCTGTTTCTCATGTGCGGCTGTGTAGTGCAGTACGCAGCCCCAGCAATACACGTGACCGCATGGCCCCGCGCGGCCCGCTGATGAAACGCCCAGACAGATTGGACACTCGGAGCGACCCGTGCTTCTCACCACCTGATAACAAAAACATTTTTGTAATGTGTATACAATTTAAAATTTTGTTTCAGATAATGTGTTAAAATTAGTATGGGACCAACAGTGGAATCAACTTTTCTGATATCCAAGCAGGGATATCCAATGTATACACACTAATACAATAGAAAAGCTTTTTTATGAAGTTGGTTGAAAAATCTTTTAAAAGCATAGATAAAATAAATTTTCTTGCAGGTATTTAAATAAATAATAAATTTAAAAGACAAAAAAAGGACAGTATTAAAAATAGAACATACAATTTCTTCAATTTGATCCCACTTAACAGGCACATCAGGATCCAGTAAGTTTGCCTTGTAATCTCCATCTTCCTTCAATATAAATTGGCAACTAGAATGAAATAAAGGAAATTATTAAAAAAATATCGAAGTTACTATAAAAATTACAATTAATAAACACAGTGGGAAATGGAGGACAAATTAGAAAAATATAGTATATACAGAACATACTATATCATTAAATATAGTAAATTATGAGGCAACCTTATAACTTAATATCTATTACTTACTATGCACGGAGATAAAGATCGTGCTCATGTCTATATGATACGCGCTGTCCTTGACGACGAGGCTGTGGTTGTCCTCCTCTGCGCTCCTGGCCACCTCGAGTGGGATACATGAAGTTCAGCAAATGGTTCAAGTTTTGCTTTTTGCTTCCAGGCACAAGTACTGAGCCAATTTCAGGCTCATCATCTTCTTCTATCCTGTATAATAATGAAGTTTACATCATAATAGTCCAGTGGCTAAAGATATTAATTTATTGTTGAGTTTTTACCACATAGTAAAAACTTTATTTAAAATTAATGTGTAACAGCCAGGGAATGTTAAATTCCTCAGAACACGCATGTTCACTCACCTGACATAAAATGAATATATCTAAGTACCCTCAAGCAATATATAACAAAAATCTTATTAAGTAAAAAAACAATATTTTTGTTTATTTACGGTCTATTAGAAAAGAGAAAATAATAATTCATTAAATTTCTATTATACATATTAAAAGATACAACTTGGTTGAGATTGGAAGCAAAACTATTTTAATTGTCATAACTATTATACAGGTACCCACATCAATTGACTTAATCAAATTACCCATTATTTTTATACATAACATATCTCACCCCTATAATCTTGAAGTACAATTAATATCTATAATAGTTACAAATACAGAAATCAGCACATAAGACTAAGATACTCTTTATATTAATCACAACACATGAACACTACACAGATTCCCTAGGTATACCAATTATATCTGGCCAGGAATCAGGGTCTGGTATTTCAATCTCAGGCGAAGCCTCAGGTACAATATCATCTGGTTGATCCCAGGATGATCTACGTTGGCGCATAGTATGCTCTTTGCTACCACGTGATAAAATCTGATCTACATGGCGCCTATGTATCTCCCCATCCTCTGTTCTCACCCTATATGTGGTTGGACCTTCAACCTCCACAATGGTAGCCCTGAGCCATTTCCGTCCTGGCTCATAAACCCGAATTAACACTGCTTGATTTATATTAAACGTTCTGTTTCGAGACTGTTGGGCTACAGCTTCAAGTTGCTTCTGGGCATCATCTGGTACACAATTAGGGTGTAAATTGGAAACAGCAGTTCTATATCGACGGCCAATTAGAATTTCCGCTGGTGTTTTATTAGTGCTATTCGGTACTGTGCGTAAATGATACAATACTTTCGATAGCTTTTCAGGCCAAGATATGTTACAATTGGCATATGAAAATTTCTTAAGTTTATTTTTAAATGTTTGTATAGCACGTTCAATATGCCCATTAGTCGCAGGATGATACGGGGGTGAATACTTGTGCTTTATACCATTCTTTTTCAGAAAAGAGTTAAACTCTTCAGAACTAAAAGCCCTGCCATTATCAGATACCAATATATCAGGCAATCCTTGTGCAGCGAAAATCTTCCTTAATACATTAATAATTGTCTCACTGCTCATTGATGGAATAATCTCGGCTTCAAACCACTTGCTATAACTATCCACCAGTACAAAAAATGTTTTACCTTGGAAGGGTCCTGCAAAATCTACATGCACCCGACCCCAAGGTTTCTCCGACGGTATCCAAGCCTGTGGATCTTTCGGTGGATTATTTCTCACTTGTTGACAATGCACACAGTCTGCCACAATTCTCTCAATGTGTAGATCCATATCACGCCACCAAACATATCCTCTAGCATAAGCCTTAGTCTGAACAACGCCAGCATGGGGAGCATGTAATAATTCCAAAACTTTACTCTGCAGTGCTTTGGGTATAATAACTCTGTTGCTCCATAGTAAACATCCTTTACTATGAGAAAGAGCCTCTCTGCGAGACCAAAATGGTTCCACTTCCATATTTGGACTAGAACGGGGCCAGCCATGTAGTATATGAAACATAACTTTCTGTAGAATTGGATCTTTCTTAGTTTCTACTGCAATCCGTGTTACATTAAGGTCCCACCCCTCTGGCTGCTCATCAAGTAAAAGTACTTCTCTTAGACGTTCCTCTTCCCCTGCAGACGTATTAGGCACTGTCCATCGACTAAGGGCGTCTGCATTTCGAATAAGTTTCCCTGGCCTATATTTAATATTATAATTATAACAACCAAGCTTCAGCGACCACCGTAACATTCTTGGTGATATTTGGTCAGGTATAGGTTTTAAAGCGTTAAACAGACCAACAAGCGGCTTATGGTCCGTAATAATATCAAATTTACGTCCTGCCAAATATTCATGAAATTTTGTGATACCAAATATAATTGCCAGGGCTTCCTTGTCAATTTGTCCATAACGCCGCTCATGTGGCTGAAGAGTTCGTGAAGCCATCATAATCGGTCGTTCTGATCCATCATCCATCACATGGACAATCATAGCTCCTAGACCATAATCAGAGGAGTCACAAATTAATAGCAGTGTTCTGTTTAATTCATATCCAACTAATGTCAAATCTGATGATAAAAGATTCTTAGCTTTGTTGAAGGCCACTTGTTCGGCTTCACCCCATATCCAGGGTCGTTTTGCATCTAATAACCTATACAATGGTTCAAGAATCGTCGCTTTGTCAGGCAAGAATTTTTCATAAACATTATAAAGACCCAAAAATGCCCGTAACGCCACCTTACTCTGAGGTGCTGGTTTCTCTTTAATCTCCTTGACCTTTACTGGAGATGGATGTAGTCCTTCACCATCAATCATATGTCCCAGAAAGGTAATGCTGTCTGATGCAAATACACATTTCTTTACATTAAGACGAAATCCCATTGAATTCAATTTGCTTAAAACTTTGCATAACCTTTCATTATGTTCTTCAATGTTTCTCCCACATACAGCAATGTCATCGAGCAAGCATGCTACTCCTTCCATGTCTACAAGGGCTGCTGACATTAATCGCTGGAAAATTGCTGGTGCCGCATTCATCCTCATGAGTCCCATAGGAGTGTTAAGCGTTAACAGTTCAGCTGTCTCCTTATCCACCTTCACCTGTGTATAAGCTTGCTTAAGATCCAATTTACTAAATACACGTCCTCCACTTAACTTTGCAAAAGCTTCAGCTGATGTGGGCAGTGGGTATGTATCTGTATTTATAGCAGCATTAACAGTGGCACGATAATCTCCGCAGATACGGAGTGTGCCATCATCTTTCTTAACAACTCTAATTGGTGTGGCCCATTTTGAATACTTAACTGGTGTCAAAACGCCATCATTAATCATCTGTTTCAAAGAAGCTTCCACTTGTTGTTTAAGTGGAAATGGTACTGGTCGAGCTTTAAAATACTTCGGTGCCATTTCAGGTCGTACATGTAATGAAACTTCTGGACCAATATATTCTCCTAAATCATTCTTAAATAAATCAGGAAATTTGTCTATGAAGGATGCTAACTCTTCATTAGACCAGCACAATCCAGAAACATGTATATCCAGAGGGTTGAACCAATTTCTTCCTAATAAACTTGGTCCTTTGCCTGTTATCACCAACAGCTCACATTGTGCCTCCTTGTTACCTAAACTAGCCCGTACATTAGCCAGTCCCAGCACTTTCAGTGGTTCACGTGTCCATGTCACTAATTTTATGTTGGTAGGATTCAGTGGGGGTGGTGTTACCCATAATTTGTAATAAGTTTCCTCTGAAATAATTGTTCTCGAAGCTCCAGAATCAATTTCCATGGAAAGGCTCACACCATCTATTATCACATCAGCTCTAATTGCTGGAAGGTACTTTTCTGTACAATTATACACCCCCAACATCTCTTCGGGCAAGGACTTACAGCTTCCCTCCCCACATTCTGTAGTCTGATGCACTTTCGCCAATCTCCTCTCACAAGCAGATGCGATATGCCCATAACGTTTACAAAAGTAACATCTTGCTTTCACAAACGGGCAGCTCACCAGTTTTATGTAGTCTTGCACAATGTCGACAGTCATTTGACTTTATCCTACCAATTTCCATAGGTTCCGTAACATGGAACGGAGTTTGCTTCTGCAGGATGTTATCAGGGTATAAATCCAAACATGTAGCTTGATAATTGAGACACATTTGTAAAGCACTTTCACAAGTTAGCTTTTCTGTTTTCAATAATTCTCTTTTCAAGCGTATATCACAAACCCCTAACACCAGTCTGTCTCTCAACTGACGTTGCAAGTCCGAAAAGTTGCACTTAACAGCCAATAAACTTATAGCTGCTACAAAGTCTTGCACGCTTTCATTTTGTAATTGATGACGTTTATGAAATTTTTCCGTTTGTAAAATTTCATTAATTTCCGGTTCATAAAATTTGTCCAAAACATGTAGTATATGGGAAAATTCCACTTCAGTTGGTCGATTTGGTACTAATAGAGATACAATTAAGCCATAAGTGTCTTTTCCACACTGAGATAAAAACAATGAACGCGCTTTATCGATGTTCTGTTCACCATAACCCGCGGCATCGAGCGCACATAATAACTGCTCTTTATAATCCCTCCATTTATCTGTTTTTGGATTAAAATGTCCCGGAAGCACTATATTGGTAAGATTTGACGTCATTTTCGCATAATTACATTTATTTTCATCAGTCGCCATTAAAAGATACAACTTGGTTGAGATTGGAAGCAAAACTATTTTAATTGTCATAACTATTATACAGGTACCCACATCAATTGACTTAATCAAATTACCCATTATTTTTATACATAACACATATATAAAGGCATATTAAAAATTTTACTTAAGTATAAAAAATAAAAATAATAGATTTATATTAAACTTTGTTCAGCAGTGACAAGATATAAATTCCTTTATCATTAAATATCATATTTACATTCCAGTTACATAATAAATCAATTACATGGTAACATGTCACTAAAACTAGACTTGGGGTAATACTGCTTTTTTGCTATATTGAAACAGTACTGGTACTAAACTAACAGTAATTTGAATATCAGATATTAAAACTATATATTTAAGTATTTTATAACACCTAAAAAAATACAGATAAATCTTTATTTATCACTCACAAGAAACACATTACAGTACATAATATTTAGGTTTTTATCTAAAAAAAATTATTAATCCTTGTGAGAATCTAGAGTCTGAACTATGATAATGAGTGTCTTACAAAATGGCAAGTATTAGTAGTCTTGTTACTACTAATACTGTAATAAAGTCTGTATAAATATGAAAAGATGGCAATATTTACAAATGTATATATTTTTTTATATTGATATCAAATAAATGCTCATACCTTGTACTGCACTTTTTTGGTATGTTTGTTATAAAATTTTATTTTTAATTATAGTGACATCTATTATTACTTACTGTAATGACTAAGTGACACTGATGTAAAATGTTAATACTATGCAAATTTCTTTGGTTTATATTTAAGCTGTTGTATGAGATATGTTTCATTATAACCTATGGAAATTGACTATCTATATATAATAATAAAATATATAAATCATTATAGTGTCTAAAAAAATTGTTATCTATTAAGTAAGAACAATAGTCCTGGGCTGGGCACAGCTTACCCGGTATCTCTTAAGCTTTATTTTAACTTTGATTTTATTTAATTTAAAATAAATTATTTAACATTATTTACAGCATTCACTTATTACTTTCAATAATTTAAGAAAAATGTTTAGAAAATAAGTTATTATAGATTAGAAAATTAATATTTAGCATAGTAGAAAGTAATCAAATATTCTTTTTACTGGACTGTTTGCTTCATGTGCATTCATTCAATCAAATATTCAAATACATACTTCAAAGCTTATACCACCTATTCACACACTCATGATTAATCTGAATAGAATCTATTTAAGATATTAACAATGTTGGTATTGGGACATTATTCTCCCCTATTGTCATCTTATAGATATCACCATAATGCATGTATGCTATGACAAATCGAGTCATAGTGGTGCAAATTGGCCAATATTGCACTCAATATGATGAACTGGTAAGTGCATATCAGTTATGTTATTTGCCAATTCTATAAGAATTGTGTCTGCCCAGACCATATACTATAATTTTTTTTTAATTTATTATAATATTTTATTACGCACCCGGTGCTCGACGCTCCACCCACAAGGAATCCAGAAGAACCACGAGGACGTGGTTTCCTATCAACTGGTCCCCTGCCCCTCTGAGATAGTGCATTTTTACGATATGGTTCATTTTTAGGAGTATTATTAGATCCTTCTCGTTTCCTATTATTCCGTGGCCAAGGTTTGTGTGTTAAATCTGAAGGAATTACAATTTATACATTAATTATTTAAAAATCTTCATTGATATTAATAACTAATTAATAATAAACAACTTCATTACTACAAGAAAGAACCAAAAAACTTTTATTAAATTATATTATCAACTTGTTTCTGCCTACCCTAATGGGACACAGGAGTGACAGATATGTATATATTATAAACTTTAATAAATATTAAGCTGTTTATATATATAAGACAACTACTCATTCAACCTTGTTCGGAGAATAATTGTATATTTAAGTAAATAGAAGCACTTTAGATTAGCAGTGACGGATTGACATGACCTTTACTCACCTGTATTCTTTTTACAATCGACGGCGGATGCCCTCGACTGTGATTGAGATGATCGATTTAAAGATTTCTTGTCCATTCTGGATTCCTCCAACATTCACAAAAACAAATGAGCGGGATACTCCGCAAGGAGACAACGATATTACGTGCAAGGCCGACATTTTAGAAAGCCATGTTTATGATACAAAACAAAGAAAAATGTATCTTATTATTCAACCAAACTTTACCAATTGGTAAAATTACAAACACACAAGATTTTACACAAAAAAGGGAGTATTCTCTACTCCCTTTCGTCGCTAACGACGAATATGTATAACAAAAGACAAGAAACTCCTTCGCCAGTAATATGGCGACCAGCCGGTAGACAGCCAGATAATTTTAGATGCGCACTTCCGTAATATATACTGAAAAAAATAAAAATTATATAATTAAAAAAAACAAAGTTAAATGAATGTTATTCTTTATAAATAGTAATTTATTAAAATATTTTTTATTAAAATTTGTTTCTCATTTAATAAGTTATTATTATGACTACAAAAGTCACAATTTTCAATTATCATCTTATGAATTACGGATGAAATGCTTAATCTATGATAAAACCAGACGTAAATTTATTTTTTAAATAAATAATTAGTAGGTAATAAAAAAAAATATTGGCGCCAAAATACTAAAAAAATATTTTTTGTAAGAAGAATTCCTCCAGATTAGAAACCTCAATTTTAATAATTTATTTAATTGAAATAGATATCAAATTTATAAGTAAATTATAGCTTCGAATATTGAGTAATAAGGGGTGATTGATCGTTATTATTACGTATACCTACTTATTGTGATCATGGAAAAAGTTCACTTGCCTACTGAAAAAGCTGAAGAACCTGATGAAGAAGCTCGGCAGCCCACTGTAATCAGAAATTACTTATTCATATACTTATATTCTCTAATACATTGAAATAGTATAACATATATTTATATCAGTACCAACACGTTAACTAAAACAATTCTCGAATAAATTACTAGTTATAATTAAAGCAAATAATTTAAAATATTTTTTATAATATCATAACAGGAATAACTTTTATAATTTTAATCACTTTTATAATAATTTGATTATTCTATTTTATTTATTTATTTAACACTTTGTTACATGAATTGTTTAAGTATTTTCAATAAGTATAATATAATACAAGTGGCGGTATTATTGCTAAGTAATCACTTCCAGACAATCTTTGGATAGAAAAAGGTTTTTAATCTACCCTCGCATTTTGTAATATTATGTTTATGAATCTTGTCACAAATTGTAATTTTAGTGCGACACAAAAATGTCTTCAAGGAAAAAGAAACAAAAGAAAAATTTTACTCTTAGATATTCAGAGGCAACAGAAAACACTGTAACCCGGACAAAAAGGTAAAAAGATTATATAATATTAATGTTATATATCTGTATTAACATTTTCTACTGTAAAGTCACACACTTGTTTTATAGGTAGATTCCTACATACTACTAGTCGGGTGAGGGTTTCGCCCTCTGGGACTAAGAGTTTCTAGAACTATTATTCTAGTTTCTTTATGTGTATTATAAATGTAAAAGATTTAAAGATGTTTTCATGTTTGTTTCTCAATCACTCTTAAATAGTTGGACGGATTTGAATGTTTGGTATCTTAATGGTAAAAAATGGTATCTTTACATAGAATACTTTTTATGCACTTTCTCTTCAGAGGACCTTCAGCTACTTTGCTATTTAAAAAAATAAATACATCGAATTGTATTGCAGTGCGCCTAAGGATGCCCTTAGCCAACCAGCTCCAGGCCTGTCCCAACGCGAGAAGCTCCTGTGGCTGCAGAAACGTCGCAAGCCCGGCTTATGGGTGCAATGCGATGACTGTGACCGCTGGCGGTACCTTGCTCATGTCATCGACAGCCACGAATTACCGAAGAAGTGGTTTTGCCGAATGAACCCAGGTTATTTCTTTTCAACAGACTTCAAGAAAGGAAGCAGTTTTTATTTCGGATGTATTTTTTTTTTTATGTTGATTACCTCACCTTCGTTAGTTATAAACCGATATGGAAAACTCGTTTTTTGTTTTTCTTCTTTCTTTTTTTTTACTTTGAAATTAAGCTCAGAATTTTAATCTAAACTGACTCAGTACTTTAGTTTTTAAATTAAAATGACTGATTATGCTAGGGCTAAAGTCTTTTTTTTTTAGTAGAACATAATCTTACAATTACACAGTTGTTACAGTTTTTTTTAATGGGTGATAATGAAATGGTTGCCCCGGCTGCGCTAACGGTATACGCGGGCGGGGCACCAGTGAGAGATGATAGGTGACGATGAAAGCAGGTCTGTTAGCCCATCGTGACAAATTGCACTAGAGTTAACCATGATGGTTTCTAGGGAGAACCACGTGAAGGTCGACCTGATAGGGTGTATTGCTAGCAATGGGGCAGTTAGCTCCATTACTAGCAATCCCTTTCCTCCTACAGTTGTTACAGTTAGATGCAGGTAAAAAACAGGCCTTAACAAACAGATAACATTGCTGAATAATTGTCGTAAATATAAAAACAACTTATTAATGTTAAATTTAAACATTTCCATGGAAGTATTATGGGCGAAACAGTATACCCTGTTACGTCCATGGTACTGCTCATGTCTATAGCCGACGGTTACCACTTTCCAGCAGGTGGGCCGTCAGCTTGTTTGCCATTCTAAGTTGTATAAAAAAAAATCCTAAAATAATTATTTTTATAATATATAGTTTATTAGACTAAGGGTACGTGAAACCTCTCTCTGGTTTTGCAGAAATCCATATGATATGGTAACCATTTACCATAAGACGGGGCATATACCTACATGTTTGTACCTTTCTGATAAAAATCTTATAGAAACTATCCTTAATGATAATATTCATCATCATGTCATAGCTGTTATCTATCCACTGCTAAATATAAGCCTCCCCGATATACTGCCATAAGGAACAGCCCTGAACCACCTGCATTCACTACCTGAATGAATTCGTGGTCGTCACTCCATCTAGTATGGGGTTGTTTTACAAACAAAAACTAGTTAGCTATCATCATCATCATTTCAGCCATTATCCGTCCACTGCTGGACATAGGTTTCCCCTATAGATTGCCATAATGAACAGTCCTGAGCCACCTGCATCCACTGACTCCCTGCAATGCATTTGAAGTCGCCACTCCATCTAGCGAGGGTCTTCCTACACTACGTTTGCTCTGTTTGGGGTCGGCAATCAAGAACCTTTATCTTTAGTATTACTTAAGCAATAATGTCTAAATTTCTGTTTTTTAACTTAATAAATAATATGACCATTGTAATAATTTTAATTCAAAAGTATTTTTCGTTTAAACAATGTCTGAAAAGGTATAATTAGCAGACTATTTACTTAATTCAGATCCCACCATGGTAAGCTGCTCTGCTCCCGAAATTCCGATACCATTGAAGGACGAGGAAGACCTGATCTACAGTGAGTACTCCGCTGGGTCGGTGGTCTGGGCGCGCCTACAGGGCTGGCCATGGTGGCCTGCTATGGTTGACGATTGCCCTGACACGGAACGTTTTTATTGGCTAGACGGTTTCTCTGACATACCCGTAAGTGTCGGGCGATTTTTTTAAATATATAATCATGTAATAGCAATGAAGCCTGCATTAATAGTTTACGTTAATGAAATCCCATACAATATTGTCAAGCTTAAAAGTGAACTTCAAAAAGTAAATTGGAGTATGACACAATGTCTTCGTAAATTCTCTTCGACTATACAAGTAGAAAAATAATCGCATAAAAAGAATATACCTATGTATACATAGAATGTTGTTGTCTCATTTTATCTCATGTATGTGGTAGCGATAATGTATCTATAGATTCATTTTCCATCTGATTACACCCGTAATACGATTAAAGTCACAGATCTTATAGTAATTCTTTATATTTGCAGACTCATTATAACGTTGTATTCTTCGATGCCATCGAAGTCACACGAGCTTGGATTAAATGTAATCAACTGAAACCATTCAGTGCCAATAAGAAAAATTTTAACTATTTATTTAAAGACAAAAGATATAAACAACGGTTAGAAGTAGCCGTGAAACAAGCTGATGATGCTAATATGTTACCATTGAAACATCGTCTATCCAAATATTGTTTCATAACCAGATACACCGGAACAATTATTAATCCTAAGAAAATAAAGAAGAAAACATTACAAAAATTTAAAAATCAATTAAAAAGAAAGCTAAATATTGATTTCTCCAGTGATAGCACCAGTGATACAGATAACAGTTCAGAACTTGAGATGACTGTATCCAAAGATGCATCTGTTAATAAATCTAATATTATTCTTTTGGGGACGCCGAAGAAAACAAAAGAGGCAGCGAATAGTAAAGCTAATAGCAATAAAATTGTCACTCGTAAAGAAATTCTCGCAGATAATAATTTATCTGAAGACAATGTCACTAGTACTTCAGTTATGAAAACAAAATATGAAGACATACCGCCGGATTCAATGACCGTGCAAATAAGTAGCTCCGAAATCGATAACTCCAGTGTTGACGGTAAGCAAATAACTTTGTAGCTTTGATAACGAAAACCTAGAAGTTTAAAATTTTTGGAATAATGAATTTTGAAATCATCTCAACTTAATCGATTAACATCCAAACAGCAAACAAATTATTATCACAGTGCACATAAATTGCAGAATTTTGTACTACTAAAATTAATAGAATTAATACCATCTTGGGTATTTTTGTTAAACACGACCATCTATAATTCAATCAGCCTTTAACAGTCCTCTGCTGAACATAAGCCTCCCCCTTAGGGGAGGAAAATCATGGTATGCCCTCTGGACTAAAATATACGTCAGTCAATCTAAATATTTTTACAGTAAAGTATAATGTGTACTCAGGAAACTTTTATTAATAAAAAAAATAATAATTTTAATAAAAAAATAATAAAATCCCTATTATACGACAGATAAAATAAAATCGACGAATAATGATAAAAATAATAATGATGATAATAATATCTCATGTAATCACACAGGTGTGCACATGACCAGCATTGATAAGGATACTCCGGGATCACCGCGTCCGTCTAACCAAAACGTCATACATGTTTCATCACCAAACAGCGATGATTTTGATTTTTAATTATAATTTTTTTTTTATGTTATCTACCTTTGATGTTAGAGTATAAGATTTATCTTAATTGCATATTGCATGGTCTTTCTTTATATGTCTTTATAATAATAAGTACTAACATGTATAAGTTAGATATAATTTATTTAACTAATAAATAATATAATAAACTTCTTTAAAGGTTCTTTGTTTTTTTTTATATCACAAAGGTAGTAAACAACCATACAGCCCGTCTGATGGTAAACGGTCACTGTAGCCTATGGACACCTGCAACACTAGTGGTGTCACTGAAGAAACCCTAATATACCCTTTTTGAAAAACCCCATACTGTAGTCTCTAAGAATACCTCAGCAGGAAGTGCATTCCACAGTCTAAACGTTCGCAGGAGAAAATTTCTTTGAAACCGCTTTATACGTGACCATTTAAGTTCAAGCGTATTAGGATAAACTCCCTGTCAATGGCGAGCGGTGCATTGGTAAAAAAATCAGGCATCATTTCAAACAATTCCTCAGAACACAATCCGTTATACAAGCTGTAGAAAACATAAAGGGAGGCAAAGTCTCATCTCAGACTTAAGGGCTCGATACTGCCTTTGAGTTTGGGATCGTCAACAATTCTCATAGCCCGTCGTTGAACCGAGTCAAGAGGACCAAGATCCAGGCTGGTATTCTCCTTTTATTTGAAGACCTTGATCATACCTTTAGATGGTTCCAAGTTTATTTCCCGCACAATGCAAATTCTATTTAAAATCATGTGTATGTATATTATGTAAAATCTTTGAAGGAACTACCTATATTAAATTTTAAAAAAGTAAAAAATATTAACTAATTAATTTATTTTTAAAGATCCGTAAACGTTATATCAAATCAAGTCAGTGTCGCACATAGACATTAGTATAATATTTAGACAAATTATATACATAATAACATTATAAATTAAACTGGAAATGCAATCAGGCAAAAAAAAACTAATTACCTATCATCATCATTTCAGCCATTATCCATCCACTGCTGAACATTAGGCCTTTTCCATAGATTTATCACATTTTTTTTTTTTTTTAATATTTTAAGGAATATCAGTCCTATTGTACCTGAACTGATTGAGCTGCTAAATATTTAAAACGTAATAACATTTAAGAGGCTGACTAACTCTACGCAATGCATTTGAGGAGACGTCATACCCATCTAGTGGGTTCTCTCTGGAAACTATCATGGTTGAATCGTTTGCCAGTTTTTTCACGGAGTTGGCACTCATGAAAAGGGTTAAATTTTCTTCTCCATCGGTTGTCAGTTCGAGCTATGTAACTAGCCCATTGCCACTTCAACTTACTTATCCTTCGGGCTATGTCGGTTAATTACCTATATTAGTTTGGAAATGAGAAAAATTAAATAAGTATTTAATTGTATGTATTTGTTTCAAATTGTGCACATTCAAAGTTTCATTAGAATAAATGAACAATCTTTTTTTTTGACTACCATTTTTGTGTGGATCAAAAACGTGTTAGTAACATTATGGTATAAGAGATCTTTATCACTTATTTTTTCATTTTGAAAAATCTAAGGGAGCTAATATTAAGGGCTTTTCACCTTCTTCAGGTATATCAGTGCGGATGATACTATTGTACCCTCAAAGTAATCAATGATTGAGCTGCTAAATATTTAAAACGTAATAACGTGTATTTAAGAAGCTAAATGTTTAAAGCTTAATAAATAGTGCATGTATAACTCTACGTTAACTTTTTTATTATTACAAGTTTCGTAAGTATATTTTAATTGTTAGTAATGGAGACTTTTACAAAAGAGAGCCATCCTTTTATGCTAGTAATATACCCAACCAGAAAATATTATGTATACCGGAAGAACTCCTCACGTACAAGTTCTCTCTGGCACAAAATCTATCATTCTATGGTTGATTTTATAATAAACTGCCGGAATCTGCATTAAATCTGACAGAGAGAATTCAAATTATATTAAACATTTTTATGGAAAGCCTATTACAGGATAGACTTCATAGATGACAACATTTTAATTATTCTCATACAACTATTTTTATTTTCTCTTTCATTTAATTGATTAATTTTAGAAATATCCGCCATGCATTCTTATGTAAAATGTGAATACTATAACTATCAGTTAACGACGTGGTCTAGTGTTTTGAGGTCATACTCACTAAAATGTCCAGACTTGTGGCCTTATTGCTAAATATGGTCGAATATATCCGTCAACCAGGTCGAATCACTCTGATTTCCCGTATTAATTGTCTCCCAGTTGGTTAACCAGCGTGCTGATGGTTTGTATTCACACAATATAACTTAAAAATGTATTTAAAATTATTTAAAAGAGCATCACGATGGATTTCTTGCTAACTTCTTGTGATGAGACCTGCCTTTTTCAAAAGTTCTCATTTATTTATCATCCTTCACAGATGCCTCTCCAGCGTATATCGTTAGCGCAAGCGGGGTAACCATTTCATTATCACCCATTACAAAAATTTGTCATCGTGACAACAATAAATCAATCACAATGGTTTCCAGGGAGAACCGCCAGAAGGTCAACTTAATTTTTTATTGCTAGTAATAGGGTTGCTAATCTCCATCTCAAAAATTAGCAAGAAACATTGCGATTTCTTGAGTGATTATAATCCTATGTAGATTATCAAGCTTGTATATATCTGTCACTACACATTCATGCAAAATAATAAAAACCACTCGCCAATGTAAAAATTTTACTTCAAATTATTTTTAATTGCAAAGTAATAAAAAAAACCTTAAGCTCAATTAATCGCTAGATTCAAATATAACCGCCTGGTTTACTGATAAAGAGGCTAGTTAATGTAACTAAATTTACGATTTTACAGTTAATTCATAATTGTAATAATGCGGTCGATGTTGCGGTACCATTCTTAAACCTAGCCCCAAAATTTAAATTTCAATTTAAAAGGTTAATTTAAAAAATTAATATGAACTTAATTTAAAATTAAATTAATAAAAAATTTTATGTTTAAAGTTAAATTTATTTAAAATTACAATGGCAAGAAATTTTTCTTGCCATTGTAATATAACATAGTTAAAAACAGAATAGTTTGCAATTGTGTATCGCAGAAATCACCAAGACTATAAAATCAACACCCATGTATTTTATTTGGAGACAGATTATTTTAGAATTGTATGAATGTGTCTTTCAATACAAGTTGTCTTGACCCTTGTAAGACGGTGTATTTTTTCAAGGTAATAATAAATTTTTAAGGTAAACAATAAAAAAAACGCCTCCCAAAAAAAAAATTCAAATTCAATTAACACCACCTACTTGAATTTGGATTTTTTTTTGGGAGGCTTCTTTATTATTAAAACGTTTTATGGTTTTGAATACAAGGTAGAGTTTTTAGGAGCATAGATTTAGGCGATTGTTCACCTTAGGCTATCACAAAGATTGTTGGGACGACACCAAATTGCGACTGGCAACCAGTCGCCATTTAAATTACCTCTAAAAGAAAATTTCATCGATTTTAGTCTATAAAGAACATTTTTAGACAAATGGTGGTATCTTTGGAAATTTTTATGTAACTTTAATAGAACTTTAGTATAAAATATAGCAAGTTGTGAAATATATTTGCTAAAGTACATGCACATTTAATGTAACACAAATAATCTTTATTCTTTTCTCTCACTTAATATCAAAATTTATTAAACTCATATCGAGTATTAGTATATGACCTATCGTTCTTGTCATATGATTTCAAATTTGTAAAAATTAACGTTTTCACTATAGAAGAACGAATCCATTCTTATCTATCTTAAACTTTTTTAGAGTTTCATATAAATTAATTATTAACTGTCCACTGCTTAATATAGGTCTCTTCCATAAGAGGCATTTTGACAGTAGTTGCCACGCTTGGTAAGTGGGATGGAACCACAATTATGTGTAATATTTTAAAAAGGACATTGTTGCCCATCCCTCGACCATTAACTTCCCTTAGCTGCCTCTTATGACACTTACGGAAAAGAAAGGGATGGACCATATTATGCTGGGTCCACACGACATATAAAAACTAATACAAATGAATATTTATTTATTTAAGTATAAATTGTTCATTTATAATTTCCCAAAACATGTAGCAAACCATAAATTTTATAAGTTTATTTTTTTAACATTTAGCAAATTTATCTAATTTATCATTATTAACAGATGACAATGGAATGGTAACCTACTCTTTCCAGGATGCGTATGTCTAAGAGCCTTTTTTAAGGGATCAGATGCCGTTTGCTAAATATTCTTAACCAATGATGCTAACCCCGACGATGACGGACCCCCAGTGAAACTGAAAGAACATAATTAAAGATAAAATCAGTTATCAATTAGTTTTATTATAATTAACTTTCTTAAAAAGAAGAACGTTCTTAATTCAGTTGTATTTTTTTTTTCATGTTTGTTACCTCATAATTCTGTCAGATACAAATCAATTTGGAAAATATTCTTATCTGGATGTACTTATTAATTAGTCTTATAGAATTTAACCAAAATTGATTAATTGAGTACTTCAGTTTTGAAATCAAAGTTTGCCACAAATAAAGTTGGTTTTTGGAAGGGGGAAGGGAAGACTTTTTAAGCTATATTGCAATAAAAAAAGTTATGGGGCTTTATACTACCAATTTTCGGCGACGATCGACCTTTTTTTTATCTGGCAACACTGGTTCTCCCTTTAACAAGTAATTAAATTGGTTTTGTCGAAACGAGGTATTTTTTTGTGTTCGATAGTAATTTTTTCGGCAACAACTTACATACACATTTATTTTCTACAAGAAACGTTTAAATTATTTCTATTATCAAATATATTAATTAGGTGGTCTCATTTATCTATGCCAATGGCGACTATATCTTTTGCCAAAAATTTGGTTAATCCAGGTAATTTTCTTTAGAATTACAAATTTTCATTGTTGTTGTGTGATTAAAAGTATATTTCTTCATATTTACATGCTTAGTAACTTCATTTTTTTTTATGTTTTGATTAATATGCAGAAATGTCTTTGGTTATCTCGGTATTATGTAAATGATATTTACCTTACCATAGTATTTATTTCCAATATTAATAGATATCCTATTTTTTTAAATAAATTTTTGTCTTATTTATTTAATCACAATTAAAACTACCTATAATCATTTATAAATTCAACAATAATTAAATAATTTTCTTGGTTATAATTTATAGGTTATGTTATTGATTAGTTACTCGTACTCTGTTTTAGCTCTTAAATTATTATTAAAAAACAGCCAGTGTTCTCAATTAAGATGCGGTAATGGTTTGCCTGGATTGACACCGCTGAGTATTGTGCTCAAGAGGAACTATGCTGAGAAACAGGTCTTTGAAAGAACTAAACCTCATTGTAATGTCGGAACCATAGGACATGTAGATCACGGGAAAACCACATTAACTGCTGCTATAACAAAAGGTATGAAATAATAGTAAATTATGATTTGCTGATTAATGTATTTGCTATTAATGTAATTGTTATTATATTGATTGACTAAAAATAGATGAAACTGAGAGCATCTTTTTAAAAGTTGGTCAATAATGTAGTATTAACCAACTTTTTGAAGTAATAATGACCATATTTTTATCAATGAATTATTACAATGTCATATTAAAAACTAAGTAATATAAAAATGGTAAATGAACAGGTCCATCTTATACGTCACTTGTTCCTGACTAAATTACTGAATTTATTTAGATGAAAGTTTAATCCTGCCAAAATAACAGGTATCATCATTCTATAGAAATACAAATTTTTCGATTACAAGTCTAGTTAATTTGTTTTAAATACTAAATAAATGCTTATAGCTCTTATATCCATACATCTATATTGTAAAAGTGTAAGGGGAAATGAATTAATAATTTGCAATTAACTCTATTTTTAGTACTAGCCGATTTGAATTTAGCACAAAAGAAGGGCTACACAGATATTGACAATGCTCCTGAGGAGAAAGCTCGTGGGATCACTATTAATGTTGCTCATGTTGAGTACCAAACAGAACAAAGGCATTATGGACACACAGACTGTCCGGGACATGCTGATTATATTAAGGTATGAGTACTTTTATATTGAAATGTGAATGCAGACAGTGCATTATCAATCAATTATCAAAATTTGTTTATATGTATAGTGATATTGTAAAAATGCAATGTAGTGTAACTCTGTTTCATTCTTGGATAATTAGAGTGAGGCTGATATGGACATTGTTATAACAAAACCAGAACATGAGAAGGTAAACTTGCCAATATAATAATGCACTGTTGTTACATGGTATAATAATAGTTGTTGATAATTTTAACCCTAAACCTAGTTTTATATTTTTTCTACTCTTTTCTTTTCATTTTAGAATGATTGTAAATCAAGATAATTATTAATATTAAACAAAAATAAATAAATTTACTATAATGTGTTTTAGAACATGATTACTGGTACTGCTCAAATGGATGGAGCTATACTGGTAGTTGCTGCTACTGATGGAGTCATGCCACAGACAAGAGAGCATTTACTTCTTGCCAAACAGATTGGTATTCAGCATGTTGTTGTATTCATCAATAAGGTAGACGCTGCTGACCAGGAGATGGTTGAACTAGTAGAAATGGAAATCAGAGAACTCATGACTGAAATGGGATATGATGGTGATAATGTTCCAGTAGTAAAAGGTTTGTACTCATAGTATATAAACTGATCCAGCAAACATATTTCTAAAGTTGAAGTAAACAATACATATGTATAAAATTGCATTAAAATCATTGATTAAAATTGTTGACTTGATCAGTTTCAGAGATTATTGTACAGAGAGAATGTACATTAGAATGTTTTTTTAATTAAGATTTTTATGTATAAAGTAATGGAATATATACAATTAAGGTTAAATATACACATATACATTGTATTTGACTTTATTTTAGGTAATTCATTCTTTAAATAAATTACTTATTGCAAATACATATTGAAATACATTATAATAAGTTCTAATATTTCTCTAACAGGTTCAGCCTTATGTGCTCTAGATGGTAAAAGTCCTGAGATTGGAGCGGATGCAATCAGTCAACTGCTGAAGGAAGTAGATTCGTATATTCCAACACCAGTGCGTGAATTGGATAAGCCATTCCTCATGCCTGTTGAGTCTGTACACTCAATTCCAGGTCGTGGCACAGTTGTTACTGGTCGTTTACACAGAGGTATTTATAATGTATTCTTTTTATTCCATAGATTAATTGCAATAATTTTTATAAGTCAGTGGTTCTAATAAATAGATTCATTTGCAGGTGTACTAAAAAAAGGTACAGAATGTGAAATAGTTGGACATGGCAAGGTTATGAAAACTACTGTGACAGGTGTTGAAATGTTCCATAAAACTCTAGAGGAAGCGCAAGCTGGTGATCAGTTAGGTGCATTAGTCCGTGCCATAAAGAGAGAACAAATCAAACGTGGGATGGTAATGGCCAAACCTGGCACTGTCAAAGCTCATGACAATGTTGAGGCTGCTGTCTATATATTGAGCAAAGAAGAAGGTGGTCGTTCAAAACCATTCACATCATTCATCCAACTACAAATGTTCTCAATGACATGGGATTGTGCCTCTCAAGTTATAATCCCTGACAAAGAAATGGTCATGCCTGGTGAAGATGCAAAGTAAGTCCTGAATTTTTGCATTTCAGAGTTAATATGTATAATTACACATCTAAACTCCTTGGGATGAGATATTAATATAATTGTCTTCATGTACATCTAATTTCAATAAAGTTGTCGTTTATGAGAGATATTTTTATATAGAATATTTTTGTATAGTTATTTTCTAAATTTATATTATATTTTGTTTTAGATTGAATTTAAAACTCTTGAAACCTATGGTCTGTGAAACTGGCCAGCGCTTTACATTGAGAATGGGTGATTTGACCTTGGGAACTGGTGTTATCACTAAAGTAAACAATAATTTATCTGAAGAGGAAAGATTGATGCTCTTAGAAGGAAAAAAGGCGCGAGAAAAGGCTGCAGCAAAGAAGTAAATTGTATACATTTAAGCCTAGTCGTGTAGTTCACATTATTATTATATGCATTTAAAAATGTAAAATTTAATTAAATGATATACTAACAAAATATGCCTTTTAATTTTTAGTACATATGTGTTAATTAGCTAGGTCTTAAATAATTTGGTATTTCCTGTTGGGGATGGTCAAGGACAGTCGTAAAAATAGTTTTGCTATCTTCTGTCGAAAAGAATATTCCTATTTGCTAACAAATGGCTAAATGTTTAAAAGATATGGCAATAATGGAAATTCCAAGTGCTAACTTTACTTTTTTCATTCTTAATATGATAATAGTAAAAACCGTCGGACAGTTGTGTTTGCTGTTCTATTGTACTATCTGCAATTATTTTGAGCAGTATTAAGTTTGTTTGCAAATTTTAAAATGTATTATACAAGTCAAATGAAACAAAGTAATTGAAATAATCAATGAAACAGCCAATAATAGCGATGTTTCTATCATTTTCCCTCTTATTTCCTTGTAAGGTAATAGCTTTATATATTTCTTAAGGAAAGTATGTAAGTCTTGTCACTTGAAGTTAATAAACTTTTTATTATAGTCAACTTTCTTTGGTGGACTCTAAAGCATTACCAAAGAAAATATTGGGGCCATTTGGATTTACATTGAAGAGGTTCAAATGAAAGTTGATATTTTCTTTTTTGTCTTTATTAAAAAGTATCACCACAATTTTATAATGAAATATTGTCAGTCCTTAGATTTAACAAAAGTTACAGATCACTGAATATATTATTATGTACATATACTTATTACCTGTGAGTTGTTAGAATATTATTCACTATGTAATAGTTTATGTACTGACAATGACCCAACAATTTTATTAGGTAACAGAAGTAAAAAAAAAGCATTATGGGTTTGACTGGCTTAAATAAATACAAATAATATTGTTTAAAGTAATTAATGTAACTAGTTCACAATGACTAATGTTGAATATTGAGGATACATAACATTGTTATTTCATGGAAACAAAGCTATTTGTGATTTTAAAACTTGTTACTTTGATAAGGACTATAAATTTGTGAATTATTTAACTAGGAAACACATTCAAATGCTATTAATTATATTGAAATGTGTTGCACAATAAGTTAATTAATTTTACATTTAAACATAGTGTAGGTACTTCTTGATCATCAGAACCTAATGGAATGGAAACTTATGACAATTTATGTGATAACCACAGGTATTCCAGTTTTCGTTCAAGTTGTACACAAGCATTTAGACTTAACATTTGTTAAGCAAACAAAATATGTTTAAATTACATAATATGCTGTGTAATACAAATATAAATAGAAAACTGGCATTTAGAATGTTGTTATGTAAGCTGTATTTACAAATCTTCATCCTCCTCTGGCAGAGCAGTGTCTTGGGCTTCCTTGAGATCTTTTTCGATTTGGTTCACCAGTTGTGGATCCATTGTAACTTCTGGAGGTACCAGGGCAGGCATAGCTACAAATTCCAAGTTGCCATCACCAATCAATTTTCTTGCAAGCCATAGGAAAGGCTTTTCGAAATTATAGTTTGATTTAGCTGAGATATCATAATACTGAAAGAAACATTGTCATTAGATGATGATTGAAATAATACTTCTAAGCATTAAATTATTTCTAAAAGGTCAAATTTGTTGTTTAAACAGAATTAAATATAAATTAGTAACATCTTGTTCCAGGAGTGTTCTAAAAGTGTAACTGGTTTTTTTTTTTTGCCAAAGGAACAAACTGTGACATTACTGTTAGTAGTTCAATATTTTTTATCAAATGTTTTTTTTAACCTCATAAATGTCAATTTATTTCATAATTTGGGTAAATTCTTAGTACCTAACAACTATGATTTCACACTGTATAACTTTTACTAATTAACATTAAACACAGACATATAAATAAAGCTCACCTGAAGGTTCTTTTTCCTGTGGAATACAATTGTTTTTGCCTTAACTTTTCTGTCTTTGATATCAACTTTGTTGCCACACAGTACAATTGGAATGCCTTCACACACACGCACCAAGTCCCTGTGCCAGTTTGGTACATTTTTGTAAGTGACACGGGAGGTTACATCGAACATTATGATAGCACATTGACCTTGAATGTAGTAACCATCTCTTAGGCCTCCAAATTTCTCCTGGCCAGCTGTATCCCAAACATTAAATCTGATGGGGCCGCGGTTTGTGTGGAACACTAAAGGATGCACTTCGACACCAAGTGTGGCAACGTATCGTTTTTCGAATTCACCAGTCAAGTGACGTTTCACGAAAGTGGTTTTTCCGGTACCACCATCGCCAACCAACACGAGCTTAAAAGTGGGCATATCAGCGTCCGTCATTTTTATTTATATTTTTATTCTACTCCTGAAAACAACCGATGTTAACTACATTATTATTAATGTAATAGAGGTACGCAATGACTAAATGTTTACGCAAGGATTTGTAATAATATCTAATGTTAATCTCAATATATCAAATTGTAATTCTATTCAAAGAAATTAACTATATATGTACAAAATAATAAATGGCATGAAAATGACAAGTTAAATTTGTTTCAAGTTTTCATCGAATGGCGCTTAGACAACCTCATAGGAATTTAGCTCTATCGTACCGAACATAACATCAAATTACTAATAAACTACATGAAAATTATTAAAAATATGTACACACTAATAATAACAACAACATATTGAACAAAATGACTTAAAATATGAATACTATTTACCAAGATTGTTTAAGTAAATCCAGATTAAACCTTCGGCACACAAAAGTCGTTACGGCTCACAATGGCGTCACTTGACTAAACGGAATATTCTTTTGACAACGACAGGCGCAATGACATTTCTAGTCAAAGATAGATCTTGTTAATTTAGGAATAATCACTTTAAATAACAGTATGACGTAATTTGTACTGTAATAAATTTATTTCTAAATTTAAGTGAAGTTTTATGGCAATTACATAACTAAAATTAATAAATAAATTTTAATAATAAATTATATTGACTTATTTGTCTATACTGCTTTACCGATCGAGTCTCTGACGTCAAAAACCCGTAAAAACATTTGCGCCATCTACAATTTTCGCAATGTTCACATCAGACCAGAGATGAGACGGGTAGTGAAGTTTCATTCCTTTCGTAGGTATCGATTTTTTGAGTGAAGTGAACGTAGTGTTCGTGTCCTTTTAGTTTAGTGACGTTTGTTAGAAAAATATCTGTGAATGGGATTGTGTAACAAGATTAAACGTTTATTTGGTGTGTGATTTTCTGTAAAGGATGACGAAGGACAGGTTAGCGGCGCTTCAAGCGGTAAGTTGGTTTTCATCTACTTCTCAACGATCCACTAGTCAGAGGTCTCTTTGATGACCTCGAATCCATACTAAAATTGGTTATAGGTTCTGTGAAATTGTAATAAATACTTATAATATTTAGTACTATCCTTTTGTAAAGCAAGGAATGTAAAAAAATATTTCAATTTAATAGGATTCTTTGGTCTGGTCGCCCCACCCCTGATTTGACACCACTTGAATGATAGCTGTCATTGAAGCGAGACAATTTGTTGCATTCCATAGTTTTACAACATAGGTACCTACCGACTTATCAGTCAAGTCCATTGTTTTTCGATATAAACCTTGCAGAACACTTCACAGTCTGCTAACCTCAAGGAACAATGCTTACTCAATTTTATTGTGAAAACTAGTTCTTTTATATAGATTCTCATAGTTATTGCGCGTTTATTTAGCAATAAAAAAGGCACACACTGAAGTACCCACAAGTTAGAAAAAACATATCTTGTTTGATGATTCATACAGGAAAATAGGTCTCTAATGCTCTTTAAACTATATGAAACTGTATTTACTATAAAAAAAAATATCCAAACATTGGTAATATTGTTTTTGATTTTCATAAAATAACCAATTTTTTTTTATATAATGTAAAATTTAAAAAGGCCAATAACAAACTACTGGCCCACTTGGTAAAAATTGTCATATACCTATTATTATTAATATTAGTAGCTAGACAGAATACATTCCAATATTCATGGTACTCCTCATGTACTACCATTTCTGAATGTTTCCATACCCTGTTATTTTCATATCCCATCATTTAAACCAAAACAGTTGTACAAACACAGCTGCTTAGCAGGAGGAACATTAGTGGGACAAATGCACTATTATTTATTTATTTATTCTTTATTGCATAATAAAATTTGTATAAATGGCAAGGCATTTTCTACCACCTAACTATTAAATAAAAATAGAATTATGCTTATCTACCCACATTTATTCATGTTTGCATCAAAGTGGAAACATGTACATGTTAGAACTGGCCTAATTAGGCCCGTTTCAACAATTGGATAATAGATTTTGTGATAGAGAAGTTCATATTTTTTAGAAAGAATGAATGTGGGAAATCATAGAGGTAGAGATTTACATATTATCATTAGTAAGTTAGAGTGTAAAACAGATAAGCTTGGTATTTGTATTTGTAAATGCACATGAGTATAATGAATTTATAATGGAGCATTTCTATTTTTCTACAAAAATAATGTATTCTTATAAATTTATTTTGCTGTATTTTGATGCTTTACCTATGAAAATAAAAAAATAATCTTGTATTAATTTTACTATGAAATTAAATATGTATTCATTTATTATTTTATAAATAAATATAAACTTCCAACTTTTACAATCCTTCACATTTATCTATTAATTTTGCTATTCATCACATATATATCATAACTATGTATTTTGCTTATATAAAAAAATCTAACCTTAAGACATAATTGATATTAGCTGATTCTACATTCTACCAAATCTATTATATTCATTAAAGTAATTAATAATAATCCTATTAACATTATAAATGTGAAATTTTGTAAGGAAAGGTGGGTTGATGTTTGTAACTTCATTCATTAAAAAAGGACTGATCACATGGGTGTATAAAATCATAACATGTTACTTTATTTACTTATTGATTCACACAGATAAAGCTATGAGATACAGCTAGTTATTATATTTTAAAATAAAATATGTTTAAGACAATCATACATATAAGAAAATTCTAATATTGTCTGTAATAAAGTCATGTACTATTTAACACCCACAGTATACACCCACTAAGATAACTGTGGTGTAATTCGTTTATATTAGATTTATATATCCTTATAATATATTATTTTTTCCAATACATCAAAATGGACTGATAACCTCTCTGTGCTGTCATTATACTGTTAGTATTTTTTTTTAATGGATGATAATGAAATAGTAACCACACCTGCATTAACAGTATACACTAGTTGTGCAGCATTGATAGGTGAGGATAAAAAGCCAGTTAGCCCATTGAAATGAATACACTTGGAATTCAGCATGATATTCAGCTAAGGGGGGACCATGTGGAGATCAACCTAACATGGTATATAGCTAGCAATGGAAGTAGTAGTCTGCATTACTAACAATCCCTTCCTCCCCAGCGAGGTACCAATGAGGTATCATAGGTGAAGTTGAAGCTTATTTTATAGGATGATAATGGAATGGTTAGCCTGCTTGCTCCATCAATACACGCTGGCGGTGCACCAATAAGGGGTGATAGGTGAGCATGAAAGCAAATAGTTGACTCATTGTGAAGAATTTAACAAAAATAAATTACAATGGTTTCCAGGGGAGCCATCTTGGTTAATTCTCGTGGAGTTCATCACAATAGATTGATCTTTCATCCTCACCTATCATCCCTGTCTGGTGTCCCACCATTACATTATTACTTATATTATCAAAGACTATCATATCAGTCATTAACTGTTCAATGTTGAACATAAGCCTTCCTCGTAAAAGGAGTTTTGCCAGTAATTGCCACACCTGGCAGGTGGATGGACAACCACGGTAAAGCTTTTAGTGATGTTTTAAGAGGTACACTGCTGCCCATCCCTCTTACCATTAATTTCCCTTAGTTTCCTCTTATGACACTTACGCCAAAGTAAATAGAAAAAAAAAACTAATTCACTAGGAAATAAGCATGATAACTTCCTCTTGAGGATTGCATGGAATTATATTGTTGGCCAGTAGGGTCGTTTTACTCCATAACTAACCATTTATTCCTTTTTATGATACATTATTTATATATGTTATATAAACAAAATGACAATTCTGAACTTAGTTTGCAAATCAGTAATTATTTTAGAACTGTTATCAGCTGACGAGGGCAACTTCCGGCGTTTGGCCTTCGTTTAAGTTGACTCATAAAAACATTCTCCGTCATACTGACATCATTCGTCAATCTTTTATTTGGATCCCTTAAGTTACAATTGGAATTCACAGGCGCGGGGGGGATGTTAGTAATGAGGTCTAACAGGCCCATTACTAGCTGTACTCTGTCCGGTCGACCTCCATGCGGGCCCGTCTGGAAACTATTGTGGTTAATTATTGTTGAATTCATCACGAAAGGACGACTAATCTGTTTTATCTTCACCTATTATGGCTTTCTAGTGCCCCCTACGCTGGTACGAGTATAACGATATCACAGGCGGACATACCATTCCATTATCACCCAATAAAAAAAATTACTGAAATTCACATAGTAAATTAGTCGATTATTATTTGTAGTATTTCTATAAAATGATTTTATTAGAGTATGACAATCATAAAGTAAATAAATATCGTGTAATTAAAATCTCTGTTAAAAAAAAATTTTAGGTTTAAAAACAAATTGTAAGCTGAAGAATCTTTATATGTATATATTCTAATTGATAAATATAAAATATACAAAAGCACAAAATTATAAAACATCGCGGTAATAATTGTTTAAATTACTTATAGTGAAAACCTCATCCAAATCCATTACGTAAATTAGAAGTACAGGGGGGGTTGGGGTCAAATTACGTTAATTACGCGATACGCGAAAAAGCCGCGTACTGTAATACGATTAAATTCATATATAATTTAAAGAGTTTAATAGGCATTGAGGACGTAATATTAACAGACTAGTTAGTACAGTTCGACGGATTATAAAAAAAAATGTTTATTTTCTCTATATAATTATTTCTTGTAAAGGGGGTATATACTAAGTGCTGACAAAGAGAGATAACATACATACATACACATCCGTCACGTATGTCTTCCACTGGAGTAGGCAGACACAATGGAATGCCAAATGTTTCGATTTTAACAGATCTATTCCGCGTCCTCCACATTCATCAATCTATCCATACATCCTAGTCGATTACGGGTACGGGTACTTTTAATTTGGCCCTCCTTCAGCACAGCCTATTTGGTCAACATACGGCCCCTATCAACATCTACATTAATTCATGCTTGATAAATCTCTTTCGTATTTTTTCATCCATCCTCTCCAAATGAGAGATCGTATCTAAATAATAAAGGAATTTTATATCATCTCATTAGAAAAACGCAGATATTTTATTGACATTTCTTTTGGTTTTAAAATACTGACGCATACAATAGATTGTCCACAAATGCTTCAATTGTTTAACTTTCGTGTTCCCTCTAGAATACCTCGGAAACAGATAAGATAAAGGTGTTTATGTCCTCCGTTAAGAAGAACAGTGTTAGTAACCAACTCGCCTGTACCCAGATTATGTAGGATTCCAAATGCTCACAGCGATTAAATTGACATCAATTTTGGATCCATCAACAGCAGATATAACTTTTTGAGGAAAATCTTAGACGTAAGTTCTTAACCTATTTATTATTCAGATATTGTTATTGTCATTGTTAATAATTATTAAATATTATAATAGTACATGTGGTTTTCGCACTGTAAAAGGCAAATTTTTTTTTTGTGTTATTGATTAAGTAGCATGTAAAATGTAAAAGTTGTAGGTGAACCTTATTAAATAAAAAAATAAAATAAAAATGAGCAAACCAACGCAACAAAGAGAGGTGAAGTTTTGTTTAACACTGTTTTAGTGATTGACATTGTTTTAAGTGCATAAAGTATTTGAATATTGATTATTCATGGTACCCAACATGGGAATAAAATTCTCATTTACAACCGTGAAGCAGTCTTTAAGTTACACACCGATAATTATTAATCGATAATTCATTACATTGCTACTTATAAAGTAGATTTTTTAAGTCGCTTCAAAGAAGGGGGTTGACGGTACGCGATATCTTCAGTTATGTATTAGAATTGAGGATATTATTTTAATGTTAAGTGTGTCCTATCCATGTTTATCCGACAATAAATTTGTCATTATTAAAGTTTTAATAATCTTATTATAAGGTCATGTTTAATATGTAATATCATACATATATACTTTTATTTCTATTAACAATTCTTTTGTTCCTTGTGTT